CTTGCCTCCACCGTTTTCCATGAATTCCCTATCAATCACTGCAAGCCTGCCTGAATTTCAACCTTGGATTTCCAGGAACCATCGTCCTAGCCGTCCTCATCTCCTATGTCATCCCCGATGGCATCCGCATCATCTCCCTCCCCTTCTTCCTCCGATACCAAACCCTATTCTTCAACCTGATCACGACCAAACCGTTGCTGAACGTCTACCTGGCGGCCACCATCATCAAGACTCTGAATGAAGACGATGGCAGGAAACAGACAATTTCTGTTTCCGTTTCTACACAGCGTGGGAGTCGAATAAATTGAAAAACACGCTAGAACAGCTTCGAAAATGTCTCTCTCTCTTTCTTTCTCCCTCTCTCGCCCGGTCATGTACTCCAGGTTGACACGAAATTATCGCTTGTCATCAGGGCAATTTCACAAAAACGGCTTCCTAGACATCAGCGCCGCATGAGATCCCACACGATACAAACACACGGTCCGGGAAAACGAACCGCCCGTCTAAGAACCCAAAGTACGGACACCTATCTCCACCTTAATATCAACTATACACAAAACTAAGCCTAAGCTAAACTTAAGCCCAGGCTCAAGCCTAAGCCTAGGCTTAAGCCCATTCTTAGGCCTAAACCTAAGCCAAACCTAAGCTCAAGCCTAAACCTACGCATTTCCTAAATCGTAATGTCGTCCTCCACGTGGGATATTATCAACATTGCGCTCCAAAATGTTGTTAGTAAGTGAATTTGAAATTGTTTTGCTTCAGAAAGGCTTAAAAAACCCGTAAAAACACTTACAATACCTTATTTAGATGCTGTAGTACTAACAGCAAACCTTGGAGTCCTTGGCTTCTCAATATTCCGAGGGCTATCTGGGCGTAAGGAACTGGCAGTTACGCTATTTCTCTGCTTCGCCGATTCTACTTATGCTCTGGCAAATGCGTATTCGATGGCTCGCCGGTTGTACATCTACCTATTTCTGGATCGTAGGTTTTGTCTGTTGCTCTCTTTCGCTCCTCTCTCCCTCTCTTTCTCTTCTTTTTTCTCTCTCTCTCTTTCTCTCCCTTTATCTACACAAACAAAAAATTTAGCAACAATCATCGTCAACAACCTGTACTGCATGAAGCAGTTCTACTCCTTCTTGATCCTCTACAGCTTCCCTTATACCGGTTTTGCTGATTTTATCTTTTCCATCGACAAGCTCATCATGGTCAAGTATCCGTTCTTCTACCGCGAGATTCCGGTTCGCAGGTTTTACTATTTGTTTTTGGGTAAGTTTTCCTCTCACTCTCTCTCTCTCTCTCTCTCTCGCTCTCTCTCTGTCTCTATATCTCTCGCTCTCTCTCCTCTCTCTCATCACACCTTAAAACTCAGGTATCACCCTTCTCTTTTGCGGAACCACACTTTGGATTGCTATCGAATGGTTTAATATGGACCCCTACGAGACAACAATTCTATGCTCCTCCGACTACATGCCCAGCCGATTCCAGCTCCCCTCCGTCTGGGCCCAGCTGGCCCTGACAACCCTCTCGGTGGTAGCCTACGTTCCAGTACTTATTTACATCGTACGGGCACGGCTTGGCGGGCTATCACGCAGAAAGGCCCACGAAAAGAAAGGGGTCAAACTGGCGATTAGGGGAGGTAGGTTACTATAACTGTAATTCATGCCTTCGCGCTTCCTCAATGACCACTGCTAGCCGGCCCTCGCTTCTTCACTGATCATTGCTAGCTCGCCTCCCCGTTTTTCCATCAATTCCCTAAGAATCACTGCTAGCCTGTCCCTCTCAACCGTCAATTTTCAGGAACAATCGTCCTAGCCGTCCTGATCTCCTACGTCATCCCCGACAGTATCCGTGTCTTCTTCCTCCCCTTCTTCCTCCACTACCAAACCCTATTTTTCAACCTAATGACCGTCAAGCCGTTGGTGAACATCTACTTTGCCGCCACCATCATCAGATCCCTGAATGAGGAAGACCGAAAAGTCGCCACGAAAAACATCTCCATGTCCACGCAGCGAGATAGCAAAAATTTGGCGGGGCAAATAAATTAATGGGCGTGCGAATAGGGGGCTGGATTCTTGTAAGGCGGGTGGCTGACGAATGTACTCAAAAAGTTAATCTACATAAAATTCGTAAACTACACATTAACGATTTTTAAGCCGGTTTAAAATTCCTAAAGATTGCCGAAAACAATTTTATGAAAACTTCTAAATTCCGATTTTCCATCATAATGCCGAAACTGACACTGTCGAAATGGCATAATGTCGAAATTCATACCGACGAAATTCTTAATGTCGAAATTTCATAATCTCGAATAACGCCAAACATTGATTGATACGCCACATTGATACGCCAAAATTTCAGAATGTCGACATTTTTAAGGAATTTTAATATGGCGAAATTTTTGATAATTTGTTTTCTTGAGATTCCTTTTGTAAATTTCGACATTTTGATTTTCGGCATTAGGAAATTTCGGAAGTATGAATTTCGACATTATGAATTTCGGCATTATGAAATTCGACATTATGAATTTCGGCATTTTATACATTTTGAAAAGTTGTCGTTGCCATTTTTTGAGTATTTTGTCAAAAAAGTAGCATAAAAAATTATCAAAAAGGCAAAAATTCGAGTTCGATAAACTTTCAAATATTTCTTATAACTTCCGAGAAATCAGAAACTACTAAAAAAGTATGAAAGAAATTATTTACCGATTATAAAAGGTAGACAGGCAAAAATTAAAAATTAGCTGGTCCCCCCTAACAGAGCAGTACCGTTTCCTTTTCAAAATTGGGGCTTCTCTTCATTGCTCTTTCTGCTCTTCCTTTGTTCAGTTCCCGTTAAATGCCCTAATTTTCTTTATCGATAAACATAATTCTTTTTTAATTTATAAACTATACAATAGCTCGCGCACGTTTTCAACTTATTATCCCCCAGGTGCGCCTAATTCGCATTTTCCGGCTTCACACGCTGCCAAGGAAGACCAAAAATACACCAGGCTCACATAGTTCGGCGGCACTACCCCTCCAAACTCTCCTAAATTTGCAATGTCCGCCTTCGACGTCATCAACATTACCGTTCAGAATGTTTTTAGTAAGTCTATTTAAAATTGGCGAGGAAAACCATCATTTTCCGACATTTCGGAGCTTTTGCATTATCGGGGGGAGGAAATTTTTTTATACGTCCAGAAATTTCGAATAAAATAATAACAATTTTAATCGCGTTTTTCGAAAAATTTAACTATAATTCAAGTCGAAAACTATATAAAAAAAATTCAAACATTTTTAAAAATTCAAAATTTTGCTCCGAAAAGCGGATTTTTCCCGGGAAAAACTATAATTTTTGATGAAAAATTGTAAAGCCCCCCCGATAATGCCAAAGCACCTCATTTTTGTATTACAAATATAAAGAGGAATTTTGAGCCCAAAATGCGCAGCCTAAAACTTTTTGAAAAGCGGAATCGCGCAGCAAAAATTGGTCCAAAATTTCGCTCACATATTCAGACACAATCGTCCTCTCCTCGAACCTGTTCGTGCTCATCTACTGCGCAAAACAGCGTATTTTCCGCAAGGAAATGGCCGTCACACTATTCCTCTGCGTCGCCGACTGCACCTACGCCATCGGGAACGGCGTCTCGATGGCGCGTCGCTTGTTGGTCTACCTCTTCTTTGACCGTAAGCCTAAAAAATCACTAAAAACCTGAGAATCCAGCGACCACCGTTATAAATCATCGCGACTGTCTGAAAAATGGGTTTTCGTACGTGCTCCTCTACAGTTTTCCCTATACCGGGTTGGCCGACTTCATTTTCTCGCTGGACAAGCTGCTGATGATCCAGTTTCCAATATTCTACCGGAAACTGACAGCCACACATTTGACAGTGGTGTTTCTTGGTAGGGCATATAAAAAATGAACACACCGGAGCTTTCGCATTATCGGGGGGGGGGGACTTTTCTCCTATAAGTAGATATGCATTTCAGTAAAATCCAGCTTATTTGAAGTATAAAAACTCTCTAAGTAACTTTTAAACAGCTTAAACGCCAAAATAGTGGTAAAAATTGCCGATTTTTGCTGAAAATTTATATTTGATTTTTTTAAATAATAATTTCTATATTTTTGAGCTGAGGAATAGTGAAAAAAGCTCAATTATTTTTCTATTTATACTATTAGCTAAAATTGGATCTCAACGAGAAAATGGCTGTTTTTACACCTTTTCCCCGCAAGCACCCAGTACGCCATTATACATTTCAGCGATCAGCGGAACTCTGCTTGTCACCACCACTATCATTTTCGTGCTGTGGCTCAGCATAGATCCGTATCCCACATCTATACTTTGTCCGTCTGACTACATGCCTCGTCACTTCCAGTTGCCATCAATATCCGCTCGTTTACTCTTCAGTTCGCTAGCAGTTATCGTCTACCTGCCCGTCACATGGACGTTATTGCATATGCGCCTAAAATTGGCAAACCGGCCTAAAAACTATGATCGTCGGGCGATTCGGCTTGCGCTGCGTGCAGGTGAGTTTAGAAACTTTCTCCTGAAAAACTATCATCTTTTTCAGGCGCTATAGTATTCGCCGTCCTTATCTCCTGCGTTATACCAGATACAATTCGCCTGGTTTCCCTAGATTTCTTCTTGAGCTACCAGGCCGTTTTCTACAATCTAATCATTGCCAAGCCACTCCTCAACGCCCTTTTCGCATTTACTGTCATTCGAGCGATCGACGCGCGAACAATACCCCATATTACCGGCTCCACACCGATACCTCGACCGCATACCTAATTCGAAAACTACGCGATCAAAGTATTAACCTCTGCAAATTACCGGGTCACATACCAAAGATCAAATATACAATGTATAAACCCTTTTTAATACATCTTTATTAGTACAGGAAATTCATAAGACCTAATGAAAGAACTATTCGTTCATGAGCACTTCGATGGTTGACGAGTCTCGTTGGCAGCTTTCGGTCAGCACTCTAAAAAGCAATTATCCAAAAAAATTAAATTACTCGATCCCGCTCTCCGTTCGCACCACATCGTCCTCGATTCGGTATCCGATACCACGGAATTCCTTCGGCACATTTTTACGGTCATCCGGGATGTAGACGCCTAAATTCGTAGCATTATAGGGTTGGAATTTCTACCCGGCTCTATCGTAAAGGCCATTCCGGGCTGCAGATTCATATTCTTGGCAACGGTGTCACAGTCGTGGACGTCCATACCGAGGTAGTGGGAGACGTGGTGTGGGCATAGAGCGTTAGCCTCCTGAAATACAGATAATTTATAAGCTAAAACCATAAAGTTCCTAAAAATTATAATAATTTCTAAAAATTCGTTTTTTAATTTTTTAAAGTGATTTTGACCTTTTAGTAAGCAAAAACTACGATATGAAACCCACATGAATTTTCTTGCGAGATGGGATAGGTCAATAGTACCCCCGCTAATAGGCCAGCTCCACAAAAAAAACACAAAACCAAACATACCCTCAGCAATTCCTGGTCGCTCAGCTTATTCGATAGCATGCCCGCCTCGCGCATCGCCGCCGCCAGGTATTCGTTCATCCGGTGGAACAGCGTGCTCAGGCTGCACTGAAAATAATAATTTTCAATTTGAACTTTTTGATTTACGTCCCATACCTCATTGTTGTTGGCGTAATGAAGCAGATTTGTTTGCACCAAATTGAGGGCATCGTAGACCACCCGCTGCGGGTCCGACCAGCGGCCGCTGACCGGAAAGCACCTGAATAATAAAAAATTATTGGGTTATTCGGTTTATACCTCGTAATATCTGACACATAGCCGTTAATATCGCATCCCGCGTCCATTAAAACCGTATCGGTGGGTCGGAGTGACGAGTTGGCATTCAGGTAATGGATGGTATTCGCACGAGGGCCGCCGGCAATCACGGGAAGATACGCCAATGCCTAAAAAATTTAGAATTTCGGCTAGTGGATAAAGTCGGCTTTAAAAATCTGCAGCTTTTTGAAAAACCACTACCTCGGCCCCTCTCCTTCTCGATTCCAGCTCCATCCTTCCCCGTATCTCGTTTTCGTGATAAACATGTTTTGATTTTGAGATTGTTGCTGTGAGCGCGACGGATCCGACTTCGCACACGTGTCTCATCATCTCAACCTCCTTGGGCGACTTTTGCACTCTAAAAATATTTTTTTATAACTGCGAGATTTTCACCTCAAAAGATGAAGCTCGTTTTTGATCGATGCCATCGAGGATCCGCCGGCGAGCTGCTGCTTGGTTTCGGCGTTCCAATTCCCGTCAAAATCGTAGCAAAGGAAGGCTCTAAGCAAAATAATAAAGGAGTAAAAAAAGTGAAAAACGAGCAAGAGAGTTCATAAAAATTACCCCTTCGCCGTCTTATCGAGGAAGCCGAGGAATTGCCGCACGGGAAGCACGTCAACGGCACCGGATGTCGAGACAAGTTCGGTGTGATCTGGGGAGGGTCCCTAGAAAGGATTGCTTAGAACGAAAAAAGCTGTTCTCTCACCTCCCAAAGCTCCTCGTGTGACGTCTTCTTGTCGAGGAAGAGGTAGCAGCGCACGTCTCCCTTCTCGGCCACGTGCATCGCATAAATCGCGCCAGGTTCTGTGATGCCGGTCAAGTAGCGGAAATTCGAGCATTGCCGGTAGTGGGTGACGACGTCTGGGGCGATGTAGTGAAGCTTTGACCCTGAAAAGCAGAGCGCTTGGATAAAATTGGCTAAATTTTAGGCTGGCCCCACCGCCACATCCAATTTCTCGCATGTTTTGATTAAAAATAGTGGATCTTACAATTAAACGAAGGGCATTTTGAACTTTCAGGCTCCAAGGTGGCAAATAAATAAATTATTAATACAACAGAAAAAATTCTAACAAACCTTGCAATAATATCAACAAATTACGATGTTGCGATGGGGGATGGCGCTTCCGAATCCCGGCAACCAGCCGCTCCCTTCGCGCGGCGTATTCCTCGTTGCTGATTCTCGGGCCCGGCCGTGCCCATCCTTTCAAAGATTCCGATACTTTAAAAGTCGTATCAGGTATTATGCTCGATGCCGCAGCACTACTCGAAAACCTCGACCCCAAAAAGCGGAGTAGCATTCGGCAACTAAAGACGATCGGTAAACCCGGGTACCCAAATGCAATGACAATATTTGTGAAACTTTTCCGCGACACTTCTCTGTGACCGGCACATGGTAATTGAAATGCTTTATCCTAGCGAAAATTCTAACAGAAAAAATACACATATCATCAGCACGAGGGGGCACATATCAACAAGTGAGCAAAGAACTAGAACCGAACTTGTACACCGCCGCTGAGCACTAGATTTTCTCCCGTAATATATCTGGCGTTAGGGGATATGAGGAATGAGACGGCGCCGGCAATGTCTGCGGGTTGTCCGAGGCGTCCGAGTGGGATCATCTGCGGGATGGCCTCGCGAGTCTAAACAAAAATATAAGCGGCAAATTGTCATTACCTTCGCAATTGATTCGTTCTCAAAAATCTCGAACCCAGAGTCCCAAACCGCTGAAGAGCCATCACCTAAATAAAGTTTTAACTTTATTTGCAGGACCGAACAAGAACAAAAAATTACAAACCATCAATCATCCCGCTAATCACAGCATTTGCGCGCACTTTTCTTGTCGCGGCGCTCATGGCAACAGCCTAACCCACCTTTTTCCCTTCTAATATTAATATTTTTTTTTTTTTATTTTTTTTTTATTTTTTTAAATTTAAAAAAAAAAAAAAAAAAAAAAAAAAAAAAAAAAAAAAAAAATAAAAAAAAAATAAATTTTTTTTTTTATTATTTTTTTTTTTTTTTTTTAAAATTTAAAAAAATTTAAAAAAAAAAAAAACCTTTAAAAAAAAATTGGGTCTCGGGATTCCCCCCAAAAACCCCCCCCAAAACAAAAAAAAAAAACCAAACAAAAAAGGCTAAAACTCTAAGCAACCACAAACCTTTGTCAACGCCAACACGGCTGAGGAAGCTACACTATACATTCCGAGGTCGATCATTGGCTGGAAGCCGCCGATAGACCCAAAAAACACGATGCTGCCGTTTCTAAAAATAATGAAAATAATGAAGAAGAGACCCGGGTTTCTTACTTAGATTTTTGGAGCGAGTCCATGCCCTGTTGTGCCAACCGGAAAGGCGTCGTGACATATTGAGTCATCACCTAAAAATCTCAATCAAATAAGAAATTATTTTTAACCTTGTCCAGCATCCCGGCGCATGTTTCATCGATTGTGTTGCCGCGGGAGGGGTTCTGCCCCGGGCAGATGATCAAACTATCGATGGGGCCAAGAGCTGACTCTACCTGAAAAAAAGCAAAAAAAATTGTTCAAATTAAACATTTCTCACTTTTTGAAATAATTCTTTGCGATGCTCTGCTTTTGTGACGTCAACTTCGACGGGGGCGATATCGCCTTTTATCTAAAATCAAGGTCTAAGGACCTTTATGAATTTTCACCTTTTTCAAATGCTCCTTCAGCTCGCTCAGCTGCTTTGCGGTGTCGGCGGCGGCAATTCGGTGGCCGTGGGTAGCCAGCCGCTCGACGACGGCTCGCCCTATGGAGCTAGCGGCCCCGGTGACGAGAACAGTCTGCGCCATCACTTCGCATCCGGGCAGTAGTCGTTCCTGCAAATCAGACTATCATCACAAGCTTAGAAGTTTGATCATAAAAAGGAAAATAACTTTTAAAAGCTGCGGAAAAGACAAATCGCTACTCCTAATGAACTAATCAGAACTTAGGGTGGATTTAGAGAGCGTTCTCTCTAAAAGCAAGCTTTTCAAAGCACTTCCGCTGCATTTAGAAGCCCTAAAACAAAGTTTTTCGTTTAACATTGCCTTCAAGTCCCTTTAGTCTGGGATCGCTCTTGGCCACACGGGCTCAGTGTTGTTAGTAAAAGACGGACCACCAAGGGCAGGACCACCCAAGCTTTTTCCCGCTTCTTCTCCAGAGAGCTATGATAACCAAAATCATTTTTCAAGCTCTTAGCTGCTGTATCTGCTTACGATTGTAATCCTTTATTCCAAGGCCAGGGGACGGGGGGCATGGGGTCTATGCGGAGGTAGCATTTGGGTAGAATACAAGTTTGCAAAGTTCTAGTGATTATAATGCATGCAACAAACAAAGGGTATGTGGGTTCACAGTTTTTCAAATAGGGCTCAACGCTTGCTGTAGTTGAGCGACGTGCCGTTCAGCAGGGTCGAATTGATCGTGCTGTTGATGCGGTGGGAGACGTAGCGTTGGTTCCGTTCCCTAAAAAATTGTAAAATCAATTTAAAAATGCTCACCTTTCGGCAGTGCCGGGGAGTTGTGGCGAGGAGGAGCGCCGGCGAGACCGTTTGCCCGTCTGATCATTTTCAATCATTTTTAGCACTTCTAAAAATTCAATTATAAAGTTTACGTGTTGATTTCACCGTTCTTTCCACCACGGCGACTGGTGCTGCTGGCATCGGACTTTTTGGAGTTCTTGTCGAGCTTTGGCGTGACCATCAACTCCAGCATCGAGTCGTCCAAATCCAGCGACTCTTCCTTATCCTAAAAACGTTTTCTAAACTAAAATAAAATGGAAATAACCTCTTCTTCCGCGGCCATCTTGCCAAAAAAGTCAGCAGTTCCGCCTGTCGTCATGTGATTGCTAAATAAAAATAAGAAAACGTCGCGAGAAAGTTAGTTTTGTTCTTCGTCGGTTTTCTTTTTTTTGAAAACGAAGCCCGCTTTTAAAAGCTTTTTTAGCCACAAAAATATACCGTATATATTTGTCGGCTTGCATATTGTAGGCGGTCGTTCCTTGACGGGCCGTGATTTTGACAGCAGGCTCGTTGCTTGATTCTGCCTGCGCCTGCGTTGATTTGTAGAACCCTTTCTCGATTGCCTATAAAAAAAGATTAAATTGTTTTATCGCTGACAACTACCAGCTTCTTGCATGTCGCCGCATCAAACACGCCATTCAGCCGTTTCTCAACCTTTTTCCAGTCGTCTTCGTTTCGGACAGAAATGATTTTTAGCGATCCCTATTTAGAAGTTAGATTATCGTTTCGTAGTATACCCGTAATAACCGCAAGTTCTTCTCATATTGGGCCTTTTCTTCCGCAGTCTGCTTCTTTGGTTTCTTAGGGGCTGGAGCTGCAAAGACAGGGGCCGGCTTGCTGGTGGTTGGCTTCTTCTTTTTGTCTAGAAAATATGTTATTGACCTCGATTACTTTAAATAACCAGTTGCGTTCTCCTTAGGTCTCGTCTCCTTGGGCGCTGGCTTTTTGGTGTTCTTCGGCTTCGGCTGTTCCGCGCGCTTTGGCTGCGGTTTTCGTGGAGCAGGCTCTTCGTCGGAGGACGAGCTAGCTTCAGAACTGCTCTCCTCTTCAGAAGAGGAATCAATCTAAAAAGAGGAATAATTAAGATTAACCTGTTCAGCTCACTCTTTTCTTATTGCGACTGCCCTTGATGACGGGGCTCTCCTCATCGTACAATTGTTTCATTCGCTCGAGCGTCTCGTCCTCCTCTTCCGAGTCGTAACCCTAAATGCATTGTAAAAATTAAAAATGGTTCGCTAACCCTGTTGGGCTTGTGCTCGGTGGATCGGCGGATGACTTTTGGTTCGGGATCCGGACGATGGAGGCCACGTTGAGCTTGCTTCGTGTTGCGCAGTGGGGTGCCCGCAAATCCGTGGAATCGACTGATGGCTGGCTGAAAATTAATTGATAGCCTGATAGGCTTTTTGACTGTTTCCAGAACATAAAACCGTATTATTTTATATAGATACAAAAATCATCGCTTTATCGACCAAAAATGTCTAAATTTTCTACTTTTCAAATTTTCAAATTACCATAAATTTATTTACCAAGTCCGGCGCGTATCCTCGATTGACGGTGAGCACGGTCTGCGTGGTGATCCCAGTCACGCCAATCACATCTCCATTCGTGTCAAGAACTTTTCCCTCGCCGGCCCACTGTGCCAAGGGACGGTGGGATAGCCGGCCGTACCTTGTTGTCTTCACGTCTAAACAGCAATTTTACCAACCATATTAGCGAAGATAACCTTCAACCGCCGTCACACCCGGGATGTAGGACTGACGAGCCTCTGCCGTGCTCAGAGATTTCCGGCTTCCCACTGACGCCCGGCCCTTCGCTAAAAAACATAAGTTTGGAATCAGGGAAAAATGTACGGATTCGGAATCCGTCGGCGTCAAAGGTTGAGCGATTTTCCTCTTCATGTTCGTCCAGCGTCGCTAAAAACAAAAGTTAATATGAGAAAAAATACGATCAATCGAAAATCAACCTCAAATCCTTACATAGGCGCTTCGTCGAGAAAGCCGGTTTCTTGGCAGCATGAGAAGTGTTGACTTGATTCGCCTGCTTCACATTGGTCTTCGTTCGGTGCGTATTGTTCTCCTCGATCTTTTTCGGCGGCCGCACAGGTGAGGCTTCTTCGTCACTTTCCCGCTCGTCGTCGGAAAACGCCAGAATAGGCCGGCTTGGGGGCTTATCCGCGTTTCCAAGGGACTTCCTAGAGAAAGCCGAAACATAATTAGGCGGAATTATTAGTACCTCGGCTTAGACACACGAACGGGTGTGAAGAGACATCGTGGCGTTTTTGAAGTTTTCTGCCCGGGTTCCTCTTCATCATCAGATTCATCAAGTTGGGGCCGGACGTATTTTCTAAAACAGCAAATTTCATCGAAAGCAGCCAAAACTCACTGATAGATGTCGAGAAGCCTCTCTTTCCAGTCTTCCGGGAGACCATGAGCAAAAGTTTTGGCCAGGCTGGCCGGTAGGCCGAATTTAACGACATCGTCAAATGCCCCGAGGGCGTATCTAAAATAGTTTTTAGAAGCGCATGCAAAGATACCTAGAGCCGGAGCGCGTATAGACAATCGTCGAGCCCTCGACGTGAATGACCTCATTCGTGGTAACGTCTTCCCACACGCCAGAATCCTCTCTAAAACTGTTTTGCGCAAAGCCCGCGTTTCTTACTCGTAGACCATGCCTGTGATGGAGATCGCTGGGTGATCAACGTCTGGGTTCGGGGCGTAGCAGAACATCCAGCCCTCCAAGGCGACAAGCGGATGCTGCATGGCCTCGTTGATGATGTCCGAGATATCTTCTTCAGTGGGGACTGTTGCTGCTTCCGGGGTCATGGCTGTTTTCGCAGGAGACTTGAAAAGTACGCTTTTCCGGCGAGGTCGCGGTGCTTCCTAAAAAAAAAAATAATAATTAACAAAAAAAAAATTTTTTTGAAATTTATCCCTTTTAAAAAAAAAAAAAAAAACCAAAAAAAGAAGGGGGGGGAAAAAAATTATTTTGGGAAATAACTGTGATAAAAAAACACTTTTTTTAGCATTTTGAACAGTTTTAAAATAAAAAAGTTCATCAAAAATTATAAATTTTTCGAAACATTTTTGGTAAAAAATGTATTAAAAGTGGCCAAAATCTTCGAATTCTCAAATTTTTATATAACTTCTGAGAAATCAAAAACTAGTAAAAAACTAAAAATACGTTAGGTATTATCAATAGGAAGAAACAAAAAATCAGCTTCCCCCCGCTAACAGTCCAGTACCAAAAATTAAACACTGGTTTTTTCGAAATATTGAAATCTAGACCTGCTATATTTCAAAATTATGCTAGCAAACAAATCCGCCCCTCCGCACCTCGGACAGCCCGTTTTTCTCCTCATCGACAACAGCGATAGATTTGCGCAGAATGCTTCGTCGTTTCTCCTCGCGGCTCCCCTCCGGTTTTTCTTGGCTCAATTCCTCCCGGCCCGTATGGACAAAGCGCGGGCTTCGCCGCGGAAGTTCCGTCGACTCGCTAAAAACACAATGTATTTTCGAAAATCAAAGCATCCATACCGGTTTTCCTCGGTGCAAGGGCTTGCAGGCGGGACACGAGTTCGATCCGCCGTCTGCGTGCAGTCACCCCGAAACGCTTTTGAACGGCGAACCGACTTGGTCATCATCGGCCCATGGATTTGAAGGGACGACTTTCTGGGAGGCTAAACGAAAAAAATGAGCTATGAGGGATGAAACCAACAATAAGTGAAGTCCTGTCGTAAACGGATGTGCCGAGGACGGTCTCGCTGAATCGGTCAGAGTCCGGGGCCCAATGCGACTTGTCGTGGTCGGCCATGTAGTCCTCGACCAGCTCCTTCCAATTGGCCGGGAAGCCCTTCCGGAAGTGTTCGGCTAGCTCGGTAGGTACCCCTAAAATCAATTGAAGGATACAATTTGGTTTTTAGTACTTTTTTGGGGGTATGAATCTTTAATATTGATGTTTGGATTTTTTTTTCCGTTTTCTTCCTTTTTCTTTTTGTTGTGGTTTTTCTTTTTTTTTTCTCCTTTTTTGTTTTTTTCAATAGTCGAATCTTTTCCTACATGTCTAGATTCTCGATATTAACATATATTAAGTATTTATAGTAAAAATCCACTATCTGAGTAAAAAAACTATTATTAAAACGTTAAAAACTGCTAAAAATTCTAACTTTTGCTCGAAAAATCTATATTTTTGCAGCTTTAATAGAACTTTGGAAATTTTGAAGCGTAGTCGTAAAAGCTATTTAGAACAACCTCTCCATTAATATCATAAAATCCGGATCTTCCCCCGGGGAAAAT